ATTTCCGATTTCGCGCTTAAGCCGCGCACAGTCGCACACGCAAAATGCCAGACCCTCTCTCAAAGTCCTCCAAAGCAAACGCCCCCTGCAGTTGCTTCCCCCAAACGTTACCAGACCGCCCCTACGAATCTCGTTCTGGCCTCTAACAGAAGTTCCTTCCAAGTTTCTGCTCCGTCTGCACTCTATACTAACCACCACAGCATGTTTGTGCGTTTAAGGGCACCAACATGCTGCAGACACTACCAAATGTCAAGTTGGCTATCAGTCGCGAAGAGTACGCACACGCAAGCAAATCCATACCAACATCTCCTGAGTCCTGACTCCTAGTTCACGAACTCAGTCCCCATCACATCACAAATTCAGTTCACGAACTCATTCACCATCACATCACGTATACACCAGAGTCACGAAATCCTTCACCACTGCATCACGGGTACGTCAGAGTTCACGAAATCACTCCCCGTCACATCACGGCTCCTTCCGAGTTCATGAAGTCACTCCCCTTCGCATCACGACTCGTTCCGCGTTCACGAAGTCACATCCACTTCACATCACGGCTTCTTTCGCGTTCACGGAGTCACGCCTGTTCACATCACGACTCCTTCCGCGTTCACGAAGTCACATCCCCTTCACATCACGGGTTCTTTCGCGTTCACGGAGTCACGCCTGTTCACATCACGACTCCTTCCGTATTCACGAAGTCACATCCCCTTCACATCACGACTTGGTCCGAGTTCACGAAGTCATTCACAGCCCTTCACCATGACGCGGTGAGCGTGAGTGAGTGTGAGTGAGCGAGTTCGTGAGTGACTTCGCCGAGGTATGCGTTTCACTGGTCGTCAGGGACTGCCAAGCGTTGTGTACATAAACAATGCCCTCACATTCTAAAGGACTTCAAAGGACTTGCGTGGCATAAGGAACGTGCAGAAAGATCTACGTTTCCAGGGCCACTGCACACAACATTGCTTCAAGTGGAAGTTTATTGCAGAGGGAGAAGTGTCGTTGGCATCTTCTGGGAAAGAATAGAAAAGACAGTGAAGTGCAGCTTACAAGTTATACTTGAAAAAAAAAAAAAAAAAAAGTTTGGCTTTGAAGAAATGCCAACTATTCTACAAGAGGTCGAAGCCATCGTGAACTCTAGACACTTGGCTCCGGCTCACGACACTCCACACGAGACAGAGGCTTTAAAGCCTGTACCCTTCATGTCGGGATTGCAACTGACAGCGCTTCCATCAGCCAGTGTGGAAAACATGCCAAGTTCTAGAAGAGGGCAAGTCCCCAGATATTAGCTGCACGGGCAGAAACAGACAGGAAGAGAAGTTCTACAAGAGACACAGATCAGTTCTGGAGGAGGTGGCAAAAAGGATACCTCCTCCAACTCCGCTCTGCGCACCGGTCGACCAAGACACGTACAAACAACCTGTGGAACGGGGACCCTGTTCTCGTATGTGAGGACAAGAAATCCCCGTTCATGTGGAGAATGGGAAGGATCGAAGAAGTTTAGCGGGGCCGAGACGTGAATTTGTGTTTGATGCACCTACGATGTTACGCTTCAACGCCCCGTGCAGCTCCTCTACCCCCTTTGAACTGTCCGAGCGAATAAAACCTTCGTGACTCCTTTGTGCAGGAGAGAGGATGTTGCATATTCAAAAGGATTGGAATGACATTTTCCACCCCACTTCCAGCAAGCTCCCCCAGGGTAGGGTCGCCAAACTCGTCGAACGCAAAGTTGAGCTCGAAGTTTGCAGAATGCGCTAATTGGAATCTTGCGACGATGACGTTGCGCCAAGCGAAATGCCAATCATTAGATCTTCCTCATTTCTTCGAAATCGGCAAACTTTGTCAAATGTAGCAAAGTTCATTGAGGTGCGCGTGCAGCGTGTTGATTGAACGGTTGCGCCGACAATGCAGCGCCCGTTTGTCCCTACACCCCTATGCCACGCTACAATTAATGCTTTGAGGATTGTCCCAAGGCGGCCTGCTGACACGCCAAATCCATCCAAACTTTGTGTAAAAAAAAAAAGCAATTAGAAACTTTGTTTGTTGAAGCTATCATTGACAACAGTGCGACGTTTCAGAACTTTGCGAGAGCCGTGGTCTGAGCCCGAGATCTTCGCTTTGGACCGAGGCAAAGTTAAACTTTTTAAACATAGCGATGCCGTACACTGCGGTCAATCTTATCTACCGCCACCGTCGACGTCCCTACTGGGACAACCGGAAAGCTTTTGAACTCCCCTATGAGGACGTTTGGCGACAGATGCAGTTATCGAAGGCCGTTGTGCGTTGGCTATGCGACGAGCTTCGCTCGGCGCCCAGACTAGGGAGGCGACGGACAATCGCGTCCACGATGACTGTTGAACAGCAAGTCCTTTGCGTGCCCTGGTCCCGAAGCACGGTGGCGACTGACAACCACCCTTCAGTCACCCGGACAACTGTGAGCCGGGCGGTCAGAGCTGTTGCGGCTAACATCGTCGAGTGCCTCGGCAGCTGTTGGATCAACTTCCATGCGGAAAGCAAGGCCACCACCAAGGAGCGCTTCGGCCGAGTCGGCTGCATGCTTGGTGGCTTCGTTGGGTGCGTAGATGGGACTCTGGTCGTAATGCTGGGCCCGCGAGACACGTAGACCGTCACCAAGGCAACCTACTGGTGCCGAAAGCACAACTACGCTCTGAATGTTCTTAAGTGGTGGTGTTCATCTCTTGCTGTCCTCTCTTTTTATGAACTGTGTAGTCGCATTTGGCAATCAATTCAGTAGAAACTAATGATTCCTCTCCGATACGTCACAGTGTTTTTATGCTGTTCACTCGTTCACATTGACTAGAAAAGACAATGTCTAGCCAGACAGTGAGAGGGGTTCTACATAAAGAATACATGCTGTAAACAACTTTATTTTTGCGGGCTCTATCTTTCGTAAATTCGGCAAAGTGTGGTTTACGTCAATATTTCGCGGGCACGAAATCTTGAGAATCAGGGTGGAGTGCTGTGCACTTGTTACCATAAGAAAATATATTCGTGGGACCCATTTTTCGCAAAATTATTCAGGTCACGAAATGTTTAAAATTTGGGTCGTTTACAGTTCTCCTTTTTCTGTCCTCTTTATATGCTTCGGGGTTTTGTGTCCCTCCTACTTTCCTTCTTTTCCCCGGCTCCAGGGTTACCGTGTCAGAGTAAACATCTTCCTCTGTCTTCTTTTTTTTTTTTTTTTTAACTATACGACCTTGTCCCATGCTTGCACCTTGTTTATCTAGTCAAAACGTTGTCAAATTATTGCTCGTACTTTGATCTGTCAAGTTGATAATAAAAGCACATGTTCATTGAGCGACCACTTATTCTGTTTAAAAGGAGCAAAATAAATACAAAAAAACTCTTCGAGTCAGGATCTCGAAGCTTGACAAAAGTGGTCTTTATCGAGGTCGTTGCCGCATCATACCCGCTGTGGTGCGTGAAAAACGGACTTGTATGCATTTGCACTGGAGTTTGTTGGATCATATCCTTCTAATATGAGTATGGCCGTATAGTTTTGTCGCGAAAGCAATATAATGCAAGTTAAAACAAGCATTTTTCTCTGAAAATCGGTGCAATAGGTAAACTTGCGAGCAACTTTGTACAGAGCATTTTTTGTGTCTTCAGTGAGTGAAAAGAGGAAGTGCACATTAAAGTTCTTGTGTTTGTCTGCCAACATGTTTCTGATTGTAGTGTTTCTAGTAGACAAGACCATCTCTTCATGAGTCTATGCAAAGAGTATTCTATAGCTTGTTGACTTCTCAAGGCCTTGACACACAATGACACGCATAAGCTATCTTGTTGAACTCAGATATATATTTTAGGATACTTCAGCACAGAATAAGCTTGTTCAACAAGTACTAGAAACGATTTAATTTTCGCACGGGACCCAATGAAGTCAAACTTCATTATTACAAACACTAATATAGCGAAGTACCGGATATAGCGAAGTAAATACGAATTTTGGTGGGTTATATGCTTTATTTCAATGGAAGTTCCACCTTTAAAATGAAACCGAAAGCACAAGATCCGATGCGATATTGGTTATAGCAAAATTATTTTCGGCCGCGCACGACTCGAAATATGTGCAATACGCAAAAACAAAGCTAGAAAATCTTACGGCTTGACATCTAGGAGACTTTTAGGAGACATATCAAAAGCGCAGACTGTAGTAACATACAAGAAAAACTGATGTTAATGAAGCTTACGATATATTCATTAAAATTGTCATAAATCTGTATACATAATCTTTCCATTTAAAAACATTGAGAACCAACAAACGAGCCTGTAAGCCTTGGGTGACTGAGGATCATCTGAAATCGATGCGTATGAAAAGTAGCCTATACATTGCATTTTCAAAAACAAGGAACCTTGATAAGATAGCGGAATTCAAATCCTTCAGGAACCGCCTAAATGCGGATTTAAGACGTGGAAAGCGCGTCTACTACATGCAACAGTTTGACTGAATTCATGAAGCACTCCGACTTGCTTTGGAAGAAACTTCCTGCTCTTTTAGGCAAGACGCCTAAAATATATAGGAAAGCTTATTATTATGGTAGAGAAAAGTGTGGCTCTGCATTATCAGATGAGCTTAATAAATACTTTGTTCGCACTGGCACGGGAACTTATTGTAGTGGTGCAGCTAAAAACATACCAAGAATTCGCAAATCTATCTTTTTTCATCCTCCCGACGAACGTGAAGTATACTCAACCATATTAAATTTACGAAACAATTTTAGTACCGATGTTGATAGTCATAATATTAAACCAATAAAATTTGTTCCTGACCTCATTTTGTTTTTTGTAACAGATCTTCATAATCTTGCTCTTTCATGTAGGTTTAGAAAGAGTTATATACGTAAAAACAGGGGACGGGACAACACATCTTTCAACTTTTAACCTCCTTTTAACTTTCCCTCTCCTATAGTGGAGCTCCGAAGGCGAAGCGTACGGCAATAAATTCATTTGTTTGTTGAAAGTTGAAAGATGTGTTGTCCCGTCCCCTGTTTTTACCTATATAACTCTTTCTAAACCTACATCATTACCAACGCGCTCACTAAGAAGTTTGCTCTTTCATCTGGGCATATTTCCCATAAAATGCAAATCGCTAAAGTCGCTGCATTGTTCAAATCAGGAGATGGAAACAGTTTGGGGAACGATCACCATATATCTATACTTCTTGTTTTTTCAAAAGGCTTAGAAAAGATTATGTACTCCAGAATTATAAATTTTCAGCAAGACATGATCTTTTAACACAATGTTAGTTTGGATTTAGAAAACTTAGATCAACCAAGACCGCACTTTTACACCAGGAGACTATACTTGACAGATTAGAAAAAAAGTTAGCAACTGTTGGTGTCTAAAATTTTTAGACTTTAGCAAAGCCTTCACTGTATCAATCACGACATTCTTTTAGACAAATTGTATTCATATGGCTTTCGAGGAGTTTCGTTTTCCTTGTTAAGGTCTTTGCAGTTCCGGCAACAATATGTTTCCGTAAATAATCATAAGTAGGGTTCAGTGTTTTCAGATAATACCGAAAAACTCTGAAAACATCCGCCGGTAAAATTTTGGTCAATTTGGAGTTATCCGATAAACTAACAATTTCGATGTGCCAATCCTCCCCTCCCAAACACACAGACATACATAAAAGTATATTACAATCAATGGTTTGATCAGCGCGTAGAGTCAATGGTCTTGGGAATATGCCAACACACTTCTGTTTCAAATTTCGGTCAGCACAAAACAGGTCATTGCACTTTCGGGTCACTACAAAAGTCACTGTTTATGTTTCCAGTTTGGGTCATAATATTTAAGCTTTAGAGGAAGGAGAGGTTGTGTTTTTGTAAGAGTGAAAGCTGTGGACCATAGAGATTGCATGAAGTGGGGAAGAGGGACATTTGAAACTTCTCTATTACATCATTTACTACACTACCTCACGCGGCCGCGTGAGCTAGTGTGGGGGGAAGCGTGTGTTCAAGCTTCGTTGCAAATCACCATGGTGTCCACTGCTCCGCCAAAACGACTGAAGTAGTTAATCAGGGCATCCTGCATCCTTTCCTTTGGAAGAACCCTGTACGATCGCCTTACACGTCCAGATTTTGACACTAACTTCTTTCGTCTCGGAGGATGCACCACTTCCAACACAGACGACGAGATCAACTGCTCTCCGTCCGAAAGTCAATCCCCACTCACTGTCGCAATCTCACACACAAACAGTCGGACAAGCACTCACGAATATCACCGCAGTGTGCAAGGTCCATCGAGGACTGGTCCTGCTCCAGTGTTCGGCCTTGCATAAGACATGTCCGATCATGAAAGGAAAACAGACAACCTTCGCACTACTTCTTGTCCTCGGCGGAACTGTCCTCGTCGTCCCCGTGATTCCGCAATGAGCCTAGGCTCAAGTGTCGGCACAACTAATTGGGGGGACCCGAGACCGTGCAGGGCCCCAACGTAGGTACCGGGGGAGCGGCGAAGAAGCCCGGAGGGCCCAGGAAAGGTTTGAAGGCATGACTCGGGCTCAGGTAGTGGGGAGACCACAGCCCCTGGTGTTGGGCGAGCTTCATTCGCACTGTCATCTGCTTCTCACGTGTTTCGTCGTGCCAACGCTGTGTTGAGGACGTGTGTGGAGATATGGTCGGGGACGTGGGTGTGACTAGTCGTCGATCTTAACGTTGTCGGAAAGAGGGGTGAGCAGAGGGGACCTGTTCTTTGTTTCATTCATGTCGCTTTGCCGGAAAGCTGGCGGACTACCCTTGGCTTCTGTGATGCTGGGCTCAATATCAGTAAACCGGACTGAACTTGCCAAAGTCTGTTTCACTTCCTCAAGGCACGTTTCTGGCGGATTGTTGTATACCAATTCGAAACGAGCTGCAGGAACGTCAAAGGAAGTTGGTCTTGGCATCATCACCGGCACATAAAGAGCTTCAAAATCAAATGATATTGCGGTGTGTCTCCTATGCTGTAGGTCCCCGTACCAGGCGTTCCATCGAACCACAGACCGCTTGGTGCACTGTAACGTTAATCAGCATGAACTACCAACTCGCCCAGTCAGCAGTCTTATCCGCTTGGACACTTACTTGATGAACATCCACAGTGCGATGAGCATGAGGAAGATACAGTGGCACATGACGCAGTCTAACTGCACGAATGCCGTGATGACTTGAATACAGCATATTCCAGAGAGCTGCGCCGTGACCTTTCTAGGAGACAGGGCCCCCATTAGCGAAACGTCGCTGTCTATGTTGTGACACCTCAGCTAAAGCGTGAACAGGATGCAGCGTTGCCCAATGCTGGGCCCGGGACGGCCGGTGCAGTCCGCCCTGGATTCTGGTCTCGCCCCTCGAGGGGGACCTCATGGCGTGAGCAAGACGCGATATGGGTTCAATGCGGTCCCAGCTCTCGGTAGCCAAGCTGAGCCGGGACGAGACGTTTACACCCACATATTATTTATTTATTTTCAATAAGAAACACAGCGAAATCAAATTCCGAATTTCGGAGAATTGGGAATCAAACAAAAATAAACTCCGATAAACTCTTAATTTTCGGCAAAAAATTAACTTTGAAAAACACCCTCCAAATTTGACAAAAAATAAACTCCGAAAACATGAAACCCTAGTCATAAGTCATCTTTAGTTGAAATTTCTTGTGAAGTGCCACAAGGCAGCATTCTAGGACCTCTTTTATTTCTTTTTATATTAATGACATAGTTACTATTGGCACCGAAGTCAAATTCATTATTTATATAGATGATACGGCTATGATAATTTCCGGCACAAATTCTGAAACTGTTATTTCTAAGACAAACAATGTTCTGTGCAAGTTTAAGTTGTGATGCGAAAATAAGTCTCTTGCCTAAATACAGACAAAAGTAAGGCCGTAATATTTCAACTTTATTGAGGTAGTCGGCTTGACTTACACCTTGCTTTGAATTATGGCCCTGGTGTTAATCCTTACACAGATAATGTTAAAACTTTGGGAGTGTTTCTTTCTTATATGTCCTGGAATGATCATGTGCAACACATTCGTAATAAAGTTTCAAGAGAGCAAGTGTGCTAACTAAATATGGGAATATTTTACCCACCAGTGTTAAACTTCAACTTTAAAGGTCCCTTTTGTACGCACATTTATTGTACAACCACCATCTTGTCTGGAGATCTACTGGTTTGACGAATTTAAACACACTTAGTGTTTTACGAAAGAAAGCTATTCGAGCTGTTGCGAATGTCTCTGGGATGTCTCCATCGCTACCTCTTTTTGAAAAATATTCTATAACTGATGTATCGGATATCTACTTTCAGCATTTAATATTCACATACCAAGCTGCAACTTGTGGTAAGCATTAACATTCTTCACACTGTCTGACTTTCGTCCATACATCTCATTGTACCATACCCGTCTCATTCATCCTTGGCGAATTCCTCAATCAAGAACTAATTTTGGACATCAGAGAATCAAGCAAATACTTCCTGAATTGTTGAATCATATCGCATCAATGAGATTCCACATCACTTCACTAAATAAAAGCGACATACCCAACATTGTAAAAATCTGCGCCTAATTATTTTTGTCTTGTGTGTACAAAATTCTAGTACATCTAACATTATATAAAAGTTTTCATAGTGTACATCTTATTATTTGTTATTTAATTTCTTGACTTTGCAGCCCTCAAGCTGTGCAAACAGCTTTTTTCCTTGGCATCCCCCCATCGTTCAAGGCGGGAATAAAATCAATGCTCAATGTTCAATATCGAGCCCACAAAAATAGTCATTTACAGTAGAGCAAATGAAATGCGAGACAGAAATACGCAGGTGAAGACACAGGTCATTTAGAACGAAAAGCACAATATTAACTTGGACCAACAATGCTTGCACTGATAGAAAAAGGTATTCCTCCCTTCTGCATGTGCAATATGGAAAAGGCTTTGCCTTGGATTGCTGAATCTATAATAATTACATCAGTGTGTTAGAATTCTATGTGAATGATATAGAAAACTTGCGGTGCTGCCTTCTGCAGGTGTGTGATCCAAAGTCACGCATAAGCTACATTGACTCCAGCATGACTGGTGGGGCCCATGACAGCTATGTCTGGAAGCGGTCATCCCCACAATAAGGATGAATGTAGGACGTTCTGCAGTGCCATCGCCAGACACCTGCGTGCTGAATGAACCGAAAGTGTAATGTAGCATCCCGGTTTGCCCTGGGGTGGGTTGTGGCGGAGGCTGCGGACCATCGAGCAGGTTGGTGTTGCAGAGCGCCCTACGTGACCACTGACTGTAGGGTGCAGTGGGGCGCCTGCGCCGCTGACTAGTTTTGGGGCTTCCGCGGTGTCGGCCACGACTCACAATAGGGATTTCCCAGTCGTCCTTCTTTTCCTTTATTTTTTTTTTTTTCTCCTTTTGGTGCTGCAGGCTTCTGGCATGGAACCTCGGTCTTTCTGCTCTCACCGGCATCTCTTTCTGAGTGCAAATAAATATTATCATTATCATTATCATCCCTTCGAAGGGCAATGGAAAGCGGCATCCTTCAGCCTGGTGAATTCTGCTAAGTAGGAAATTAAACATTTCACAACTGTATTTGACGGTGGGGTCAATGGTGAGGCCGCCACACTGTGTGTAATACAGGGGTCTTCTATCTTCGGTAATAATTACCAAAACAAAACTAACAAGGAGGTATGTAGACAAATGGTCACCAAACTGTACCTTGCACATCTGTGTGAATCTTTATATTTTTAATTATCGAAGTGAGCTCTTGCCAATAGAAAATATAATCTATTGTTTTCCTTAATCTTCATCCCACTTCATAAAGTGGGATACAAACTGGGAAATGATCACAAGCAGGCGAAGCATAACATTACAAGTGGCTATGCAGATAACATAATTTAGTCAAAAAGGCTGTCTGAAATTTAGCATTTGCTAAGATTCGTTTACAAATCCCAGCGGTCAGCTCCTTGTAGGCTCGATGAGAAGGGCACTCTGCAAGTTAGATGTAGTAAAGACTTTACATACTATCGCAAAATAAATCGCAAAACGCAAGAGAACAAGTGGCACGACACTGTGAAACAATCGGCCTCACTAAGATTGCTAAAGTTAAAGGCAGCTAGAATCCTTTTCTGACACCTTTCATTGTGGTAAAAACCCATAAGGAAGGCAGACCATTACAAGTCAAAGTGGAAGACAAAGGAACCTGGCCACATGTAACAGCAAGGGAAATACAGGAACATGTACCACTTCAAGTTGAAGATCCAATCTAGGTCCATAATTCCGATGAAGTAATTGAATTTTGGAAAAAACACCAGCCCATCACAGCTTTTTCGGTAGAAACGAAAGACATGTTTTACAACATTCCACAGGAAAAAGCAACACAGGCAGTGGAAAAGAGCTTCGACGCTTTCGGCTTCAAGTTTTCAAAACGAGTGCGGAATCAGCATTAGGGATTTGCTAAGTCTCTTACAGACCTATTTAAGTTCTCTAAATGTCACGTTGAAAGATAATGTATACACTCAAAAAGAAGGGATCTGCATAGGGTCCTGCATAGCACCAGCTTTATGTGACCTGTTTATAGTAAAAGGAAACGGAGTTACAGCAGTTTTTCCAGGAGAATGGAGTCAGCAGGTGCTTCCGATATGTTGTCTATTTTTTGGTTTGTTTCCCAATACACCAAATGACAGACACATCATGCTCAAAGATCATGGAGAAGTAATATTTGGACGTGGGCTAGTCGGCGGTGCATAGTTAACATATAGTTAAAACAGAGTTCGCACTGTCATAATTATATATTTACGATCATAAAGAAGTTCCGAGAGGCGCACAAAGGACTTGAATTCACCTCTGAATTACTTGAGGGAGGTAGCCAACAATGCTTGGACATGAACACGACTTTCGAGAACACACAGATGTGCTGGGTGTACAAAAACAAGAGGTGAGAAAGGAGTACTGCTGTATGACTCCGGACACACCAAGTTAGTCAAGAAAAGTGTTGGATCAGGACGCATCTGGCAAGCTATACAAAAAATATCATGTCACCACGGAGTCTTAAAAAACCTCGGGAGCCAGACACGCAGACTAAGTGCAAGCGGTTACCCTAAACCCTCACTGGTCGCCGACGCAGAAAAATACATTTCCAATCTCACAGAAAAAGCAAAACTATGGAGCAGATTGTGGACAAAAGGCCACTGGTGGTACTGCCGTACATACACAATTTCTGACATTAAATAAAGATCGCCGAAAATTTTGAAGTTAGGGTGGCATTATCTGCCCCTTTCAAGCTCAAAGGATTATGCAAAGAAGCAAATAAACTGGAGGACGAAACGAAGGGCAAGACATTGTGTCAAGTGAAACACAAACGCAAATTTGTTGAATGTGCTGAAGGGGTGATACACAAGATAGCACTGACGTGCGGCAAATCCTACATCGGGCAGACCGGAAGATGTGTAAACGAACGACTCGGAGAACACAAACAGGCATGCGGTCAACTGCAAGCACCAGGCAACCTAGCCGGGCATTCTACAAAATGCAGCTGCGAAGCTCCGCTAAAGCCACTTTATTTTGGCCAGATCTTAAGATAGGACGACACGCAAAACCATCGAGGCTTTACATATGGTTTCAGAACAACACAAAACGTGCGTCAGCGTGCCATCAACAGCTTTGAAACAAAAAGTAGAGCTACTAAAGAAGGTACCACAGCATGTTGGAACAAAACACAGCTCCTAGGTAAATGCAGCGGAGACTGGCTCACCATCAGGTTCATATGTCTATGGCGGCTATTGCGAACACCAGTGAGATCGGAAGCAGAAAAAAGCAAGGCACCAAATAATGGGGTTTTCTAGCCACAATAATTTTTCAAAATATGGTGTGGGGGAGAAAGAGGAGAAAGAAATTAGACTCGTTAGTCTGCGCCATTCATGCACGTTCTGTTTCTTCTATCCTGTTTTAGTTTTAACAATGTGCTGAGCTCAACACATTGTTAAAGTTTGACTATTTTCATCATTCTTTGATTAAAAACGAGTCACTGCCCGAATGCTCGCCGAGGCTTTCACTGTCACGAGCTGAAGTTGAGTCGTCTCCAATTGTCATCACAAGCAAAGGGTACGTCCGAATCATCAAGCTTTTCGAACCGGAGACTGAAAACAGTAGTATGCTGTTTACATTACAATTAAAACGCGACAACACAAGTTCTGGATTCATGGCATCGCGTTCGAGTATGCTTGGGTCGTGCTAGGTACAATATTTAGGTGCAAGGTGAGAAACATTCAAACCCAATACCGCTGCATGACCCTTTTAAGTTATGCATGTATCATGGGCCCTTCTGATAAGCACATGGCTATTATCTGGAACTTGAAGACAACTCCCCTGAGGAATTACAGGATGTGAATGAGACGGTGGATCTTCCTGAAAAACCGCAAGAGAAACCACCCAAAAAAAAAAGTCCTCCTGCAAGCAGGTGGACCTTCTCATGTTGGTCCTTGAGGAACAAGGGCACAGAGGCAAGAGCTTCGTGAAGCAAGAGGAAGGACACACAGGGAAAGGCAGCGTCAGTTTGCAATTGTGCAGGAGTCCAATGATCTGCAGTGGGATTTCCTGCAGTTCCTAAAATCTAAACCCCAAAAGTAAAAAAATGAAAAATGCAAAGAAATAGCCTCCTTTTTACTTGACTTCGGATTGCAAGCGTTGGCATGCAATGCTTTCAGTGATCATTGTCCCGCCTTGAAGCCCAATTACAGACGTTCTGTTCAAGGTGGGAACTTGTTCGGGATGAACGTCCTACCCCCTGGTATTTCCTAAAGGTGGAAGTGAGTTGATGCTGAAATGTGGGTACAAACAGGCGAGGTAAACTCAACACTAAAAGGACTGGTCCAGCAATACCAGCTATTTATAGTTGCTCAAGCTATTTATTTTTTCTCATTGGCAAGCTATACCAAATGTACAACTGTCCGGTCCACTTTTTAGCTGATCAGCTGTATGCTTCAAGTGTGGTTGGTAATTAATTACTGCTATTGTACTAAAAAAGCTGGCAGAGATCTCGGGATGCCTAAGAACCTCAAAGGTACCGCAAGCTTGGAAAGATGCAAACATAATGCTGATCACAAGAAGAGAGATGTTGACACAAAAAGAGATGTGATCACAAAAAGAGAGACCATGGACAACCTGGCAAAACTTCAATTGGTATGTCTAATCCATCCTGACCCTGAGTTAATTGAGCCTCGTATGGCAGTTACAGTGCTCGGAATAGCTGTGGCAGCACTGATTGATACCAGTGCGAGTCTGTCGCTTAGTGGGGCCTACCTGATTGAACGATGCAAAGAGCAGAAAGCTAACCTGCACAAGACTAACGTGCGCCTAGAGCTGGCGTCAGGACCAGAAATGCTCACGAGTCATGCCGTGAGGTTACAGATCGGGTTTAACGAGAAAAAACGTCGTCAGCATTTCGTTTGCTCACGTGGTCTCACGGTACCACTAATTGTGGGGTTGGGGTGTGTGAAACTGCCATGAATCACGCGCAGTCACAGAGACGCAACGAGAAAGTGTGTGATCTGTGCGAAGGGTTCCCACAATCCCCTGCTGCTGGCGCTCTATGTATTTCAACCGGTCCATTGTAGATTCGCTGCGTAAAAAATATGCACGGTGGCTCGCGGCAGCCATTAGCGGTCTGGAGACATGGAAGAGAGAAAAACATTTTTTTTCTTCTTTAAGCCACGAAACAAAAACCAAAATATCCCCTCCAGACATGGTGTACACATTTGTGTACGGGACTTAGCAAATTTATCTACTCTTCAAATGTGGTTTGTACCCCTGAAGACACACTGTGTACAATCATGTACACTCTGTGAAACCAGAGCCATATATTAGGAGTTTGGCCATTCATTGGTATCAATGGGGTGAAAATCGGGGAGCGCTATTGGCCGGAAAGTTGATTGGCAGGCCACTCGTCACCAATCAGAAGCCGCAAAACCTCCCCTAGCGGTGGTCGTGAGCGTTACAGGTAAAGCAGGGTTCGGTAAATTCATTTTAGCGTCGCTAGAGTTAGAAAAGTTAAGTGCCTGGTGACTGAAAACTTGGTGCATGTGAGCTTTTCGTCATAGCATTCTTTAATGGTAGAATAAATGAATGTGCACTCGAAACCCTGCCAACCAAATCGAAGAGGACCGAACACGCGGACATGTGCGTTTAAATGACGTAAAAAAAAGTTTGTGTAGCCGCGGGAGTTGCGGTCTTGTCTGAAAAATGGGTAGTTCTTGTGCGTTGAAGTGCCGGAACAGAGCTTCCAGGGGAATTAGCTTGTTGAAGCTGCCGGAATCCCAGAGGAGACGGAAACTGTGGCTTTTGAGAATCAAGCGTGGCACGGGGGGGAAACCTCCCAACTGGACGTACCTCTGCGAGGCGAGGTATTGTTCATTGTTAATATTGTGACGCGAACACGGTGGACACAAGTGCACTGCGACCAAACCGCGTATTTTGTG